GGTATAAGCAACTACTTTGAAGGCAGTAAGATTCACTAAGATGCCCATTCTGGTTTGACTATTATCTCCTTTGGAAGTCCTGTAATGTTTACAATGTTTAAGTTTTATTGGTCGTGTTCTCTACTGTTTTGTTCAACTTTATAATACCTAATGAGATAGACAATTCTTTTGAAGGAAAAGAAACATTATGGTAACCATTGTTGATAACCTTGTACTCTGTTCTTACATCATGTGCTATGTCTATCCTTGGTTTTGACTGACAGCTTTGTTTTGCCATATTTGACTTTATTCTCTTCCAAAAAAAGTAATAAGAACTAAGGAGTAATAAAACCCAAAATGTGTAAATTTTGTTATAAAAAAGAGAGGGAAAAAGTGCTCTAAAGGATACAACTGCAAGTGTGTTTAGGGTTGTTAAATAGCTGACCATCTTAATGTTTTTGGTTGGGTCATTGAACACAACTGTTTGCACTCTCTCTGTTTGAATGTTCACTTTGTATGCTTTGATACTGTGACTTGAGCAACTATCTCTAAGATGATAATGTGTAATCTATTAACTGGTGATTTCTTACTGTTTTCTTTTGTAGTTCTGTATTACTTGTACCCTTACACTGTTTTGTTTTGTTTTGTTTTTTCTCTTTTTCCTTTTAAATAAAATTTTAAAAAAAGTCCTGGCCCCAATAGATTCACTGCTGAATTCTACAAGAACATTGGTGAAGAACTAATGCCAATGCTCCTGAAACACTTTATTGAAATCAAAAGGGAAGGAATGCTCCTAAAGTGAGTCCAGGAAGCTTGTATTACACTGATTGCAAAACTAGAAGATTCCAAACAAAAAAAAAAAAGATAGCTACAGCCCAAGTTTGATGAATATAGATACAAAAATCCTCATCAAAATACTGGGAAATATAATGTAACAAATCATAAAAAATCGTATGTCATGAATAAGTAGGATTCATCCCAAAGATGCAGAGATGTATTAACAAATGCAAATTAATAAATATAATAAATCACAAAAACAGAATAAGGACAAACATCACCGAATTGATGCAAAAGAAAGTCTTTTACAAAATCCAACATCCATTCATGGTAAAAAATAAAACCCTGAAGAAAATAGATATAGAAGGACTTTATCTCAATGTGATAAAAACATTTTTATTAATTAATTTTATTGGTACATTTTATGTACACATAATGATAATTTTCATTATAAGGAATTTGTGCCTGTACATGATAGAACTTGATTCTTTTTTTCCCATTCCCCTAATCTCACTTCAACTTTTTCCCCTCTTCATTTACGAAAGCATTATTTTAATTTTTACTTCATTTATCTTTTTTTCTTTTATTTCTTTGTTTCTCTCCCTTTGCTAGTTTCCCTTCCCATTTGGACATTTTCTTCCTATTTCACAATACGTAGTATGCATTTTAGTCCTTATTTGCACTTTTTGTTTCTCACAACAAAGAAATAATGTGGTATTTACACATGTGTGTCCAATTTATTTCAGTTAAGAGGATGGCCTCAAGATGCAACCATTAGCTATAAATTTGCAAGCATATTCCCCTTTATGGCAGAGTAATATTCCACTGTATAAAATATATCTTTTTCATCCATTCATCAGATGATGAGCACTTGGCCTGTTTCCTACATTTAGCTGTTATAAACTATGTCACTACAAACACATGTGTGCATATATCACTGTGGCATAATGGTTTAATTCTTTTGGGAAGATATCAAGAAAAGGAATAGCCAGGCCATATGGAACTGCTAGTCCTAATTTTCTGAGGAACATCCACTTGATTTTCACAATGGGGAAATGTTCCTTTTTCCCCACATCCTCCCCACAGCCCTGTCAGTGTTTGTTATTGGTGGGCTTCTTGAAAACAGCCATTCTTTTTGGAGTGTGATGGACTCTCAATGTCGTTTTATCTTGAATCTCTCGAATGATGAATGATAATAAACATTTTTTCATATATTTATTGCCATTCCTACTTCTTCATCTAGGAACCTTCTACTCATATCTCACATTTTTTGGATTCAGTCTTTAAATTTGTATAGTCTGATTTTATTGAGTTCTTTATATATTTTAGATAGTAGTCCTTTGAGAAATAATTGACAAAGTTTTATTTCTTACATTATGTGTTGTCTCTTCACTCTGAGATTTCTTTTGATGTTCAAAAGCTTTCTAATAAGATGAGGTCCGAGTTGTTGATTTTTTGTGATAGTTCCTGTGTGTTCAGTATTATTTGTAGAGTCTTTGTCTATACAATTGTCTTCAAAAGTTCTACCTATTCTCTTTTCCAGCAGACTTAGTGTTTCTATTTTATATTTAGCTCTTCGATTCATTTTGATTTTAGTTTAGAGGATGGTGAAATGTGTGGGTCTAGTTTTAATCTTCAGCATGTGGAAAACCACTTTATCTGCCATCATTTATGAAAGACGCCATCATTTATGGCCATCATGAAAGATGCCATCATTATGGCCAGTTTTTCTGCCATCATTTATGAAATTTCTCCATTGAAGGTGTTTGGCCACTTTGTCAAAGACAAGGTAGCTGAGTGTGCTTGGAATTGTTCCCACATGTTCTAATGTGTTCCATTGATCATTAGTCCTGTTTTTTTTTTTTTTTGCTTGTTTCTTTTTTCTTTTTCTTTTTTTTTTTCCCAGTACCATGCTATTTTTTTTTAAATCACAGTAGCTTTGCAGTATAACTTTGAGTCAGATATTGTGATGCCTCCTGGCTTGCCTTTGTTACCTAGAATCGCCTTTGCTACTGTAGATCTATTCTGGTTTCAAATGAGTTTTAGGATTGTCTTCTCTAATTCTGTGAAATATGTTGTTGGAATTTTTATTAGGATTTCATTAAATCTATATAAAAATTTTGGAAATATGTCTATTTTCAAAATCCTGGTTCTTCCTCCTCAAGATCAAGGGATATCTCTCCATTTTTGATATCCTCTTCAATTTCCTTTGTAAGAGTACTGTAGTTTTCAATGTAGAGATCTTCTGCTCCCTCTGATAGATTGATTCCTAGGTACTTCATTGTTTTAGATGCTATTGTAAAAGGTGGTCTTTTCCTAATTTCTCTTTCAGTGAATTTGTTGTTTGTGTATAGGAAGGCTGTTGATTTTTGACTGTTGATATTTTATCCAGCTATGCCACTGAACTTGGTTATTAAATATAGAAGCTAATAAAAGCATGTGTAACAAACCAGGGGCCAATATCAAGTCACATGGGGGAAAGTTAAAACCTTCCTTCTAAATTACATAAGGACAAGGATGTCTGCTATCATGACCACTGTTCAATAAAGTATTCAAAACATGAAGCTGACCAATCAAGCAAGAGAAATAAATAAAGAGGCTACATAAATTTTTCTACCTATATCTCCTAGGGTTCATTTTCCTAAACCTTTTGGAAGAAGTAAAGTCAAAATTTCTTCCTTCCTTCTTTCTCCCCCTCCTTTCTTCCCCTTCTCTTTTCATTCTCCTCCTAATCCTCCTCTCCCATTCCCTCCACTTCCTTTTCCTTTTTACATCCTCAGCACCTAACACAGTGCCAAATAGGTGGTTAAGAGCTCTGTGGATATTTGTTGAAGGAATGCATGAACAAGTAAGTGAATGAATGGATTAATTAACTCTCACAACACCTACTGGAGATTATGGGAATGAAAATTTCAGTAAGGAAGTTCGTGAAGAAATATTTGTAGCCTATGCTATGCTAAAGTTGTGGTGTTGACTTACAGCTCTCCTGTAATGGCTAAGACTCATTGGAAACTGTTGCTAAAATAAATTTCCTTTTCTGTTGTCTTTTCTAAATTTTATTTAGTGGGCTATGCTTCTTTAAAGGAGTAAAGCCCAGTGAATCAGCTTAAAAACAAGGTAACAATATAACTACTGCAGTTTTTACTTCGAAGGCCAGACCCAATAAAGTAGAATGGATTTTCAATGGGTATAAATTATTGAATAACATTTCATTGTTTTTGAAACTCTGTCTCATTGTATAATTGATATAACATAACCAATCCTCATTCATTTTTTTCTGAGTATGCTCTCTTCTAGATATAACTTGTACAAATTTGATCAATTTGAATGATAATGATCTTTCTAATTAGGACCAATATATAGGAGAAAGAGATACATTTTTCACTGACCATTGTTCTCTAGAGAAGAAAAATATTGGGTACTGCTTAGACTTGCCCCAGAATGGACATTTTAGATTGTAATCCTATATTCTTAAAATACAATGTTTAAAAAAGATGCTAAGAAAACAAAGCCATACACTTTTTTGGCACTGTAATTTCAAGGAATAAAATTCATAGACACAGCTTCCTTTCAGTTACTCCAACCCTCATCCAGTGTCCCCACAGAAGAAGGTCATGGCAGTAACTCAAATGTCAAATTCTCTTACTTTAATGCTTTAATACAATCATTTTACCCCAAAATTTCAGTCTATTCTTTCCATTTGATCAAGTCACAAATTAGATGTTTGGTAACTATATACATAGTTAACTCTAGAAAATATCTTCTTGAATATTTATTCTTTTAGTAATTCACACTAATGTGAGGAACATACGTTAGTTGTTCATCTCTGTTCAAGATTTATTCCTAGTTACTTCCACAGTGCTTCAGTGATGTGTGAGGTCAAGTTATACTAGGCTAAAGTATAATATATTAATAAATAATCATGAAATAATTTTATATAATAGTGCAGAAGAGTCAGGGAGTATAGGAATAATTCAGATATGTCCAATGAAGAAGAAATACTGAATCGAGAGAGCATAGAATTTGTAAATGTTCCATGCTTTGTTATAGTTGTCTTAAATGTCAAGAATTTGAACTGACTAAATATAAATATAGTACCACAAAAGGCATCACTGATAATTATTAGTGTAAAGACTTTTTGGTGCTGGGGATTAAATATCACTGGAATTGAGTGTTTCATTTTCCTAAATGTCAGAATACTTAAGAGAATATAGAAAAAAGTAGCATTAAAATTGTCATCAGTGTCCTTTTTATCAATTTTTCTCTTTATTCATACAACATCAGAAAAAATTAATAAAGTCCAACTCTCTTTTCATAGTCATGGTGACTTCTAGAGTCTCATTCTCTGGGACATAGAGTGCTTTAGCACTGCTGCATTCCACAGGTTGAGGAAGGTTTACCAACAGCTTCCTAAAATAAAATAAAAACCTAGAATTAGCTTCCTAGCTTTGAGTAATACAGCAGAAACAATATATATCATTACAATGTTTGAATCCCATCCTCAAGACAACACACCAATATTTAGACAACATAAATACAAGATCAAAAATATACTTCAATAATACAAACCAGGTTTGGGAGTTAAAAATGCAAGCAGATAGATAGCCAAGTGTGGTGGCACGTGACAGCAACCCAGCACTCAGGAGGCTAAACAGGAAGATCACTGAAAGTTCAAAGCCAGCCTGGGCTAGAAAGTGAGTTCAAGGTCAGCCTGAACTGCAGAGTGAAACTCAAAAAAGTTCAAGCAGTTGTTTGACTCTTTCTTTTTTAAAGTCAACCATGGTTATAGCCACCAAAATAGAACCATGAAAATTTTGAGGGCAGATATGTTGCCAGTCATATTTATGTGTGGATGGAATGTGGTTGACTGGGAAAAATCTGAAAACTGGAATGGTTCTTCTAATAGATTTTTAGGCTGAGTCTTCACTGCTTTGTAGTTTTTGAAAATCAGGACTGGAATGATTTCAATATCAGTTCAATGAAAATGTTTCTGTGCTTCTGATTGTTTCCTATTATACACTGACAAAAATTGTCTGTGATAAACTGATAGATTTATATTCCAGTTTATGACTGAGTTGCTGGATAGTTGTACGCTTTAGATGCATTTCTGGAATAAATATCCATAATTTTGTCCTGGAAGTATGAATCTAAATTATGTATGGTGTCAGCACATGCTAGAGTCTAAAGAAAATTAAATGCTTGACTCTCTTGTTATCTCAAATTCTCAGTAGATAAGGCCTGAATGTTTTTACAAATGGAAAGAAAAATTCTTTTGGCCCAAATCAGTAAATGAATGTGATATTTTTAGGTGTACTTCTTGGGTTCTTGAATTGACCATTAGCATTTGAAAACCAAACTCTTGAAAATCCATTCCCTCTACTCATTTGAAAAGACATAAGTTAAGAGCACTGGGCTTATTAAAGTATTTATTATACATTTTTAAAACCTAATGGAGAAATTTTCTTTGACTTTCATTCCATTACAGATAGGGCATGAGAAACAGACCTCTACCTGAAGCAATTAAATGGCAAAGTATTTTAATATAGTTAATGATAATTGGCATATCTAAAAAGCAAACACAAAAAACAATTAGAGTGCATCCATTAAAGCTATTTACAATCATATGCTGTACTAGAGTTGGATTTCTCTCATCTTTTATTCTGTAAATGATAATATATTCACTTTAAAAAGAAAGCAAAGCTTAATGTGGTAGCTTTGCAGTCAAAGACAAGAGAAAATGGTATTCCAATGATAATGTGCACTTTTCTGTCTACAGAGAAATAAACCGAAAAGAGAGAGTTAGTGGTTATTAAAATGATTCATCTATCCTTGCACTTCAGTCCTGCCTGAGAAATATGACTTCACATATTAAAAATCTGAAATAAAGAATTATGCAATTTATTTAGATTCTTAGGAAAAGAGAGGCATTTTTATCTAGTTTTGTGTCTGATCTGATATCTGTACAAAGAGTTATATTTAAACAAAATGAAAATTGTATAAATAATTATCCATGTATAATTCATTGAAGGATTGAGCTATATCTTATTTTGGTGTTTCCCTAGGGTTTAGCAATTTATACATGTTTTTTGAGTGCATAAATAAGTGAACAAAAAGCAAATACTGAGTCATTACAAAATGACGTTGGAATAATTACCATAGATGATATTATAAAATATAAATAAACACTCAAACACAATCTGTATGACTTTACATTGATAAAGTAACTGCTTCTAAAGAAGTTCCAATTTAGCCACAAACAAAATATTTATCCAGTATTAATTTTCACTAGAAACTTCTTAATGCGAAAAGTAATTGCTATGGCCTGTATCTAGATATGTCCCTATAAAACCTCAAGCAGTCATAGCTGGAGAGTTTCAAAGGTGGCTGGTTTAGGGTGTGTGAATGTGGATTAAAGGTGTGATAGTGGGATTCAGGAGGTGGATAATGGAAGCCCCACCTTGGCATTGATGACACTAGTCAATAGGTTTGTAGCCTGAATGGAATATTAAGGACAAAAGAAGGCAAGCTTGCTTTCTGTCACTGTTTGTTGCTAACTGGCTACTCTGCTATGCTATGGACTGTTTTTCTTTTTGATGCCCCCTTGATATGTCATCCTGCTTTGGAGCCAGCCCACTGGAGTGAAACCTCTATAAACTGTAAGAGAAAGTAAAATTTTTACTCATTTAACTTTGGGTGTTCGGTATTTTGTCCTAGTAAAAAGAAAATAAACTAACACAGAGTAATATATAAATGAATAATATGAAAACAATAATTTATCCATATAATGAACTCACGTTTAGATCCTTATATGCTTACATTTGTATTGTAGAGTTTATAAATTTATGTTTCTTGCAAGTTACTTAAATAAAGTACAGACTTGTTCTGTTCACAAACACATAACAGAATTGTTATTTTAGGCAATTAACGAAAATTATTTGATTCGTGCAATTAAAAATATTTGAGTTAAAAACAGACATGGCTTTTTTAAAGTTTTCTGTAGTGGACACAAGTATTTGCAAAGAAAGAAAAAGTGTAGAAATAGCTACGGAGCTTCAATTCAGCTTTTACAGAACTTAATTTTTAAGTATGAGGGTCTTTGAAAGTCAGTCAGTTCTCAATCTGAATTAAAGGAGCACAGCAAAGCTATGATTAATCTATAGCAGCATTCAACCAAAATTTAATTTACATTTATCTTTTAAGTATGTTTTATTATCACCTGTAAGGTATTCATTTATGATATTCTAGGAATTCACTTAGAAAAGTAATGAAACTTTGTATTAAGGTGAAGGTAGATTCTGGGAAATTATTATATCTTTTTCTGTTTTAACTACTCCACATTGAAAATTTATATGCCAGCAACAATTGAGAATAAATTAAGAATTCAACAAGCTATTTTTTGGTTATATGATGCTAAATATCTGGAGTTTATGGATAATTCTAATGCAACTGACTATTGTTTGAAATTACTAGTCAATTCAGTTAAAATAAGTTTACTTGTACATTATAGATACATGAATAAAATGTCCACTATTAAATCTTTCTTGATGTAGATAAGCATTCTGCTATAATATGCCAAAGTAAGGAATATAAGAAATTGTTACTGTCAATAAATTTAAAAACAATGTATTTCTAATATGATTTCATATTTTGACACAACTCTAAAGGACACTGAAATATTTAGGAAAAATGATAAACTCTATTTTTTGTTTAACCATACTAATTTTCTTAAGAGGTATTACCTCTCTGCACTAAGTATTTAATATATAAATATAGTACATGTATTTTTGCTTGTATATATAATGTATATCATTTAATATTTAACTGTAGCATACAAATAACCTAGTGTACACCACAATGCATATGGAAAAGTACCTTGATGTGAAACTTTCATTTAGTGGGTTCTGATAGATAGCTAGAATGACAGCATAGCCAAAACAGTTGCCTAAAGATTGATGGAGACAGTGAAAACTGTTCAGATAATGAAAACTAACTCCATCATGTAAGTGCAGTTTTATATATATGTGTGTGTGTGTGTGTGTGTGTGTGTGCGCGCGCGCAGTTTTAATATTCATGCAAATATCATAGAAGTCTGACTGTTTAACCAATTTTTCTTGCCAAGGTTGTTTTCAAGAGTAAATACCTGTACAAAACACAATGAAAAGAGCAAGATACTTACTACTAAAGTAGTAAGAACAATGAATGACATTTTTATAATATAAGACTTTTTTGGCAAGAATGTATTTTTGAACTGATAGAAATAATGAAAAAATATTTCATATATATTTATTTGTAGATCATTTTTGGTTAAATGTTTCTGCTATAAAAATCAAAATTAAGCTATGTATGTACATTGCATAGCTTACACAGCTTATTGTAAGAGGGATCTGTTTATTATTTTCTCAAAGCCCTAAGCTCAGCAAAGGAAAATTGTAAGTACTGATAAGGGAAAGAAGAAAATATCCCAGCACTCCTGCTTCCTGAGTCCATGAGTCCTTAAGTAACAGAGAAAGGAAAACGGCAATCAACCAGTGTGTGCTGTTATACATCTACTTGAAAAGTGAATTCAGCAGTGAGGTATTTAGATGTTTAATCTAAAATGCACCCGGTTCCATTGATTCCCTTTTTTAAGAGTTAATTTTTGAGAGACAGGACTGATTTATCCATGCTTCAAAAGGAATATTTCATATCATAATTTTACTCTGTGTTGTTTGGGGAATATTATTTTAATGTATATAATAAAAAGACTATATCTGAGAATACAAAAATGTTTAAATGAATTATTCTATCATCTGTACTACTTTACATGTATCCACACAAACTGAGGATCTAGTGATAGATTACTTGTTAGAATTTTTGTTTTAAGTAATTAATAAGGTTTTGTTGAACTTTTATTTTTTATTGAATTTTATGTGAATATAATGACATTTTTATCTACTAGCCCCACAACATCTAAAAATTTTAAAGGTAGTGCTTCTCTTATGTTTTCACTAAACAAAAAAAATCACATTTAAGACTTGCAACTTTAGGGATTTTCATTGTAGCTATTTATTCTGACACATAAACTGTATCTGAATGTCAAGGTTTATGTTTTGATGGCACCAATCCACTTGAAATATATAAATTCAAAATATAAAAAATCAGGTAATTGAAAATACATTTGTACTTGCATCAAAATTTAAATGAATAACTGAAATTTCACTTTTGTTAGGACTTTAGACAGTGATACAAAACAAATGTATACACTTTTAAAAAGAGTATTTACTAAAGACTTATTGTGATGTACCATTCCGGTTCTAAATTTTGCTTACTTATTAGGTGTACGAAGATCAAGAATTGTCTCCTGGATATCAATTTGAATTTCAGAAGAGTTTGTATTGGGCAGTTGAATTTTAACCTGAGAGAAAATGAGAAGAAAAGATACTGTCATTTTCTGGGTTCAAGACAAAGTTAGTTTGGAATGTGTACAAATATATGAGGAAAGAAAAACTAATATTTATTAAGCATAGACTATGTGTCAAGTAATGCTCTTACCTTGTATCAATCTTGAGAAGCAAGAATTATTATGCCCATTTTATAGGTGAAGAAGCAGAGCAGTTTAGTTAGTGTAACTATCCAAGGGCAACTATCTGTAATTTTGCTAAAGACTATCTGATTCCAAAGCTATATAAAGCAATTATAGTGATGCACCTATTATCATCATTGTCTAAAGTGCACTGTTAAGAGTTGGTGGGCACCTTGGACTACCTTTCTACCAATGAGTCATTTATATGAACAGATTTATTTGTCATTTAAATGTGGGCTGGTGATGCCATCTCATAGTTTCTGGGTAGTAAGTATCATACATATTTCTTAGGGAAGTTCAGGAATCCAGAAAATGTTGCTAAGATAACAAAAGTGAAATAACAACGTGAACCCCACCTGTCCAAAAGACTAATTACTGATTTTCAAGATTTCACTTACAAATAGCTCATCTCAGTTACTCCAAGTTCAGCAGTTCCCCTGTTGTGTATATACCCAAGAGCACTGAAAACAGGTGTTCAAACCAAAACGTGCACATAATGTCTCTGCTCACAGCAGCACTAGCTACAATAGTCAAAAGTTATAAGCAATCTAACTATGCACCAACTGGTGAATAATAAAACAAAAGGTAGTATAGCCATGCAATGTCATATCATTCAGCTATAAAAAGGTATAAAATACTGTTGTACTGATTAACCTTGAAAACATTACACTAAGTGAAAGAAATCAAGCACTAAGATTTTTATATTTCTATTTACTTATATGAAATGTCCATGGTAGAAAACTTCATAGAGATGGGAAGTGAACTAAGGTTTTTAGGAGCTTCAAGGATGGGGAAAAGAAGGAATAACTGCTTAAAGGTGTGAGATTTGAGATTTCCTTTGGGGCTGGTGATATTGTTTTAAACTTAGAATGTGGTGATGACTGCACAAAGCTGTACATACACTACTGGAAATGTCATTGGTGAATGTGTATTTTACTACAGCACAATGTCTCATCTCTCTCATTTACAGTCTTACATTCTTGATGAAACTTTGTGTCTGTGTGTGTGTGTGTGTGTGTGTGTGTAAGAGAGACAGACAGACAGACAGAACATGGCATACAGTTTTTTGTAAACAAAATGCAGCATCAAGTTCAGGAAAAAATGAAGTCATCTCTAAAGTAAGCGAGATTTGAGACATTTAGACATTTCATGACTGGTATGGCCAAACAAAAGCAGCAAGTTATGAGGAAAATATATGTCAAATAATTAGTGGGACAAATTGGAATTTCTTATAAAAGCTTAAAGTAGTTAAACATGTTTTTGTGATATAATGTAGTAAACCAACACATGCTTGTGAGTTATATTTTATTAAGTCTGCATTTAAACAAATATGTGAAAATGAAGTGTAGCTCTAGAGACGCTACTATATAAGTAGTTTCTATGATTATGTTTTCATTAAAATTATCTTCCAGTTTATATTTCAAAAATTCAGATCTTCATAATTGGAGATGCTTTAAGTGCAATAAATAAAATATTTTTCAAAAAGGCAGCTAAAATTGCTGTGATTCAAAGTATGTGAGCCTTTTATAGGACAAAATAAATCCATTTATTATAATAAGATTCAGGTTGATAGTGAAATTGATATGTTCTTTAATCTCTCATTTTGACTCAGCATCTGGATGAAGGAATGCAAATATTTATTTCTTTACTTTGAAATATTTAGCTCTTTCAAAGTAAAATATTATTTCCCTGAAGTTAAATGACAATTGAAGAAGAAAAAAATAACAATTTATGTGGAATTTAGATATAATTTGAGTTAGAACTTCAAAGTGGTTCTTAAAATCATTTGTAGTTCTAGGAAGAGTAATTCAGAAACAATCTCATTTTTCTCTTAAGGAATTTAAATTATATACTAAAATGATTTCAAAGGAGGAACAGGAGAAAGGACAGATTAGGTAGAATGAAGCACATTAATATCTTATAAGATAGATTTCATGAGGGATTGTAACAGAAAAATCCTGCTGAGACATGAATCTGATTTTACTAATTAATACTTTTATGAATACTTGGGAAACAGACAAGGCTATTAGTTGACCTCTAACTGACTGTGCTCAAGACCAGTTAGTTAACTAATAATAAATCAAAGGTGCTACTGACAAATTTAAAATAACTGATGCTCTTTTCTTTGTTTAAGATGCAAACTGAATTCATTTTTAAGAAAGAATTACTTTAATAGCCAAGCTAAAGAAAACTGCTAAGGATTTCATGGGGAAACTTTCCATTTTGAGGAAGCTCAACCTTTAGAATTAGACTTGAGTTTAAATCCTAGTTCTGTCATTTATCAGTTATTGTTTGTTATTTATGGTTCAAAATAACAATAAACCTTTATTTCACACATTTCCTATGATTCAAGAATTTGAGAGTGGCTTAGCTAGATAGTTGTGGCTTAGGGTCCATATGAAGCTGTGGTCAAGATCTTGGCTGAGTTGCAGACATCTGAAATTTTGACTGGAGCCAGGCAGTTTACTAACATGGCTGTTGGCAGGCGGCCTCTGATCTTACTACAAGGACTCTTCTGTAGGGCTCTTTGAGTGTCTTATAATTCTACAGCTGTCTTCTCTCCAGAATGAATGATCCAAAAGATCAGGGTAATACTTCTAAAATGCAACCTCAAAAATTACACTCTTTCATTTTTGTAGTATCTTATTGGTTATACAGACCAACCCTATTCAAAATGAGAGGGTAGTATATAAAGGGAAGAACATCAGAAGGTGAGAATCATTGGGGCCACTTTAGAAGCTGACTGCCACTGTATCCATCTCTAACATTAGTGCAAACAAAGGCTTTTGGGGCTTGTACTTAAAAAGTAACAGAAGAAAGGTGCACAAATTTAAGGTTTAGTCAATCTCATCTTCCCTGATTTAGCTTTCTTCAAGCAAGTTGTCAAAATCTACGTGGTTAATTCAACTTGAGGCTTTCCTGGAGAGAAGTAAAGGTAGGTCAAAGTGTTTACAACTTATTTTCAAAGGTCTTCATTTATCTTCTCATATAGGTTGCAGTACAGCTGACTCACTATATTAAAGGCTCTTAGGTGGGGGACACTATTGTGGTACTATTATTTTGAGGTTGGGTTTTTATTTTGGTTTGTATTGGAGATTAAAATTAGGGCATTTGCACCAAACTGCATCCCTGGCACTTTATTTTTTTTCTTTTGAGATAGGTCTCTTTAAGTTACAAAGTTGTACGCACTGGGCTCAGATCTTTAATCATCCTGCCTCAGTTTCCCAGAGTGTTAAGGTTATGGGAGTGAGCCATTGCACTTGACCCATTTTGATTTTAAAATATTTTCTTTCCTGTCTTATAAGAGATGTACAGGACAAGATGATCCCTGGAAGACGATATTCTTATAATCTGTAAGTGATTAACACAGGCATCCAGCTCCCCAGATAAGTATACACGTTCTTATTACAAGATGTGTAAAAATTGACATGAAATTTTCAAAATAACAGGTGCTCCATAGAGCTCATCCATCCTAGCTTTTCTGTTGAACTGTCATTTCAGCACTATCAGAAAAGAAGACTAACTTAAAAATATCTTATATATAATTTGGACAGAATACAATATTAAAATATCAACTAAGATTTTGTACCTAAACTTTGGAAGAAAATCTAACTTAATATATGGTTTATAGAGATAGTAAAAATGTTTCTATTTAATATAAATACAAAATATCCCCCAATACATTTGATTCTTAAGAAATGAGATTGAGTTCTGTTTAAAACTAAATGACATAAGGAAAATTTAACATAAAATCATGAGTAGATTTCATTTTGTTTTTTGTTTTTTCTGAGGTTTTTTTTTGTTGCTTTGTTTTGTTTTGAGACTGAATCTGCTATATAACTTAGGCCTTGAACTCACTATATAGACCAGGCTGGCCTTTAACTCATGGTAATCCTTCTGCTTCAGCCTCCCAAGTGCTAGGATTACAAGTGTGCAGCACCACATCCAGCTTCATTTTGAATTGTTTCAATAATCTAATTTCCCATTGTTTAACAATAGAAAAATATGTGAGACTTTTTTCTCCACTGATCCATACTAAATAGCTTATAAAAACTCTCATGAACAATGGTAAACTGTAGGAAAATAAAAAACATTAAAGGTGATGGACCCGTATTTGAAAATTATATATATATATATATATATATATATATATATATATATAAACTATACACTTATAGTTCAACACTAGCTCATAAAACCAATAGATCATCTTCTTAAATTAATGTGTACTTTTACTATAATGTTACTACTTTTAAGAATTCCAAGGGCGGGGAATATAGCTCAGTGGCGTAAGCACCTGCCCAGCAAGTTCAAAGTCGTAAGTTCGAGTCCTCAAAATAGTAAAAAACTAAAAATAAAGAGTTCTAGTAACACATTGCCGTATCTCTCCTTTTTAGAAAAAATATTTCCCACAAACATGGCTTGTCTTCTGTCACAAGAGTCAAGAGTGAGCCCGCAGCACATTCTGGAGTAAAATTACTTATCTTCATCCCTAGTCACTCATAACTTTACCACTACTATCTACTTGAGACAACTTGAGCAGAACTATGCTTTTATTTGTATTTGTCAACAACCACAAGATTCCTAAGTCACTCCCTATCACCTAATAATTACCATATAGATCTTCATATGTCATTCTGCTTGTTTCCTATCTGTCATCAACTTATGAAACTCTTCCATTAGGTCCTTTGAAACACACAGATAAGAGGCAAAATTATTGAAAAAGAGGAGATGAAATGATCATTATCTGAGGGGAAAAAAGTCCAGGTGAAATGAACAAAAAGGAATGAGGAAAAATAGCTTGGTATATTGGAATATCAGAAAGAATATCA